TGACTACTGAGGTAGCCGTCAGCGATAATGGGCACGGGCAGGAGCGGGGCGGGGCGGGCTGGAGCAGCCTGGAGCGGGCCGACTGGAGTGGGCTGGAGCGGGCTGGAGCGGGCTGGAGCGGACTGGAGCGGGCTGGAGCGGGCTGGAGCGAGCAAACTGGAGCGGGCTGGAGCAGGGAGCAAGAGGAAGGAGGATGAGGGGGTGGGGCGGGGGCGGGGGATCGGAGCGGTACCCGTCGACGACGTCCAGGTGTGCAGGCAGCTGCAGCCTCTGGGCCGGCGCGGCGCGGCGGGGCGGGGCGGGGTGGGCGGGTCGCTGAGCCTGCCGGCACGTGCCGCAGCCGCTCGCTCACAATGCAGGAGGCGTTGCGTTGCGTTGTCGCCGTCCTCTCCTCTCCTCTCCTCGCCTCCTTCTCATCCGTCTCTGCCGCTGCTGCGCCGGAGTCCAGCTTCCGGATCGCGCATTTCGCGTCGCGTATATACCTGTTTGTGTGCCAGATTAATAATGAAAGGAAAACTTTTGCGGGTAGACCCGTCGGGGACAATGATGCGTTTGCGGAGGAAAACGCTGCAAATGTAACGCGCATCGCCCCTTTTCGCCAGGTCATTTCTCGGTTGTTGCTGTTCCTGGGGCGTGCCAAATACATATATCCGCGTCGGCCCGCGGGCCTGCCCACTTCCTCCCCGGGCGGGGCTGAGGCCGGGGTGCGGGGCCCTTACCGGTTAGAGGCCGACAGCGCGGGTCCTCGGGTCCCTCCGACCTTGGCGACGATCTGGACCATTGTGAGGGAGGGCGCCGAGGGCGCTCCTGCCGTGGGTCAGCGCCACGGGCCTCTCCGGCTCCTGCAGGAGCACCACGTACGTCGAGCCCGGTGTACACCCGCCTCCGCCCCGCCCCTCACCCCCGCGCGCGCCCCGAGCGGAACAGTACTGCTCATCACGACTCAAAGAAAGTAATAATGGTAATTCAAACGAAGCCATATTCAGTGCGGCGCGATGATTCTTGGCGCGGCCGGGTCCGGGACTGCATTCTGTTCTGAGTTCCGTCTTCTTGTTCTTGGCCTTGTTCCCTATTCCTCGTGAAACCGGGCACTTCTAAGTCTTTCTTTAATTTTCCGTCTCATCTAGCTGCTGCAGGCTGTACTGCTTGGACCGGCGGCGTCGTCCGTACTTTTCTAATGCGTCACCCTCCCCTCTTTTCTCTCTCAGCCTTGCCCTTAGTTAGTTTCTGACAGGCCTGCGGTGTGGGCGAGAGGATCGATGTATCGAAGGTCATCGATCGATACCGATGAAATTTGTTTTCGGCGCGACCACCCGCCCATCAGTTGCGCAGCAGGACGTCTGCCGCGCGGCGTCGGGGCTGCGTCCGAGAGCGACTTGTGCGTCTTTGTTGGCGGCAGGGGTGGCGGGCGCGACCCACGGGGTGGCGTCTCCCGCCTCGGACGCAGCCCGGAGGCGGGCGGGGTGGGGTACCTCATTAAACCAGGCCGAGCTGAGCCGGGCTGAGCCGGGCGG